CTGCCGAGCTGACTCCCGGGAACTCCGGGGGGCTCCTGGCCGCATCCCCAGGGCAACCCAGTCAGTGGGGTTGGCGCCGCCGCCTAGGCAAACCTCGCCAAACTTTCCCCAAACTCCACAGCCCGAGGAGAGAAGCCCTGGCCAGAGGCGCGCATGCGCCCCGCCTGCTACTTGGCTTTCCCAGAGCTGGGGAGAGCCGGAGTGGAGTCGGGCGAGTGTCCCTGGAGGTTCGCCTAGCCCCTAGCTCTCCCGGGCAGTCGAGACTCGGGGGCTGTCTGCCCTCCCTCGAGGCTGAAAGGGGCTACCTCCGCGCCAGGCTCTCCGCAGTCCTCTATCTTTGCGCATGGATGTCTCCAGGAGGGGTTCCGGCAGCGCCGAGCAAAAAGGCCAAGGAACGGCCCAGAGAAGGCCTGCCTCCTGGACCCGCGGCTTCATCTAAGCAGGCCCTGGGCCACCACGCCCTGGGCTCGGGCGGAAAGTCCCTGGGCGGCTGCCTGCTGGGGTTCCTGTGGCTGGAGGCGCAGCCTGTGGAGAGCTCATGTTTGTCTCTGGGTAAACGCGCCAGCGCCGCTGGCCGCGGCTGCCCTGAGTACGCAGGACTTAAGCCGATCCCCGCTCTTGGAAACTACCCCCCGGAGGGCCGTCCGTGCTTCTTGGCGAGTCTTGGCTGCAGGCTTATCCCCACAGCTCCACCCCTGACCCCTTCCCTGGCTGGTGGGCACCTGTGCCAAATAACCTGTTGCGCTTACTTCTTTTTGGAGAGGCACTGGCATTTTGCTTGAGACGGGCTGTGCGGCGACTCCCGGGTCTCCGGGAAGGAGTGCGAGGGTTCTGCACTATAAGAGGAGCCCCCTTCTCAACTCCTGGGGCGCGCGGTAGGTTTCACCCCCAAGCCTTTATCCTGGGGGCCCGGGGTCTCCCGGGTACAACTCCCTCCACCTTGACCACTCTCAGGATTTCTCTTTGCACTTTGGGGTGGTAGGATTAGACAAAAAGATGGGGACCAGAGACAGGGCACGGGCTAATTAAATCCACACTTTTCTCCTCCTGGCCTCCCTACCCACCTCCTGCCCTAGCCAATTGGAAATCTTGGGTCCGCACCTCTTTCCTCCCTCCCACCGCCCCTAGATCCAGCAAGGGCGCTGATGGACTTTGCTGCTTATGTTCACACCCCCACTCCGCCCCCGTTTTAATAGGCGCTGACACGTGGGCGTTCTCACTCTCAAAGCAAACTTTTATTTTCTAGTGACTTCTAGTTTCACCATTTCTCTTGGGCAGCTGCAGGGGACGGAGCCATAAGCTCTTTACATGCAACAGTATCTGACTCCCCCGTTTCTGCAGTGCAAGCCTGGGGATTTGGACTGTGGCAATGGAAGTGTAGCCAGGCAATGCTTCTAGAAGGGGTTTTATAATGCAAGTCCAGTTGGGCAAGTATTGGTATTTGTATAAAAAAGAAAAAAAAAACTGGTATGAGCGCAACTCCTCTCCCTGGGGCCACTGGCTAAATAAAGTTTTAGGAAGGAGCCACTTGTATGGGAAGGATGCCAGCCTGCAGCCCCATGCCTGGCACCTAGGGCATTTAATTAAGCCCTGGAGCTCCCCAACCAGTAACTGGCAAACAGAAGCCAATGTGTGACTTCTTGGAGCTGTGACTGGGAAGTTTTTCCTTACGTGCTGGCTGCCTGCTTTCTGTTGGAGTGGGGACTGCTCAGTAGACCCCAGGAACCACAGGGCCATCCCTCCCCTGGCTCTCCCCCCACCCCCAGCTCCCCGTGCCCCTTTCATCCAGGGCTTGAATTGCTTGCTGTCAACTTTCCGGGAGATAGAAAGCCGAGGGGGCCTGAGAACGGGAGGGTGGCTTGACAAGTCTTGGAAATCCGTATATTTTGCAGGTGTAGAGTGTGCCTAATAACCATGGCTAGAGCGTGCTCCCCGGTGTCGAGGGTATGACAGGGACAGCTGGCTCAGTCTGCAGTGTGAAAAACACCCCCTCGGTGGACCAAACACAGCGACAGTGACCCTTCTGCAGGGGGACCAGGGGTGCGCCTTTGACTGAATTAGCCATAAAGGCGTCTTGCTATGACTTTTGTTCTCCGCCAAAGCAGAGAAGTATTGCACTTAATATGGGAGGTGCTGTTCACAGCTTTTCCGTGCCCCTTAAGAAATATCACGGTGCTGATTTACTGGCCCTCTGGCGGGGGTGGGGTGGGGTGGGGTGGGGAGAATAGACCGGGAGGACAGAGAAGGAGGAGGGGAGGAGGAGGCAGACTTGGTGAGCTGAGTGGCCCGTTGACTGTTTCCAAAGATCTCTCTCTCTGGGCGGCAGCAAATTTATCAATCTTTTCATCTGACAATACTTTGAAATATATCATTGTCATCCGGAGTTGTGTGATAGATTATCTGCAGGCACACCAGTCTTTTCCAAGGTCAAGTTGAAGATTCTTGTTTGCTGTTTAAACCGGGTGGTTTCAGAGCTCAGAACAATGCCGGCCTGTTAACATTTTCACTTGTTCTCATGGAGCTTTCAAAAGCCAAGTTTTCCTATGGACGGGTGGATTCTTAGCTCACTGCGTGCAACAAGAGGGCCACAGGCAATGGGGTTGTGTCTCTGGACCTTACAGATTCCTGAGAAATGAAGCTATCTTTCCCTTCTCCCCAAGTGTCTCCTAATTTTTCTCTGCATGCCACATGCAGCTCCTTCAGCTTTCTTCCAGCGGAGGAAACTGCCAAGGCAGTGGCCTGGAGCAGAAAAGCGGAGGAACTGTGTCCACTTCCGCATAACCCTGGACACTTTAAAAAATAATAAAGTCAACTTCTAAATCATCAGGTTTTAGAAATGCATTTGTTTTTGATGTTAAGGCTGTGGGTGAAGGAAGGCTGGTTTCACAGTTTCCTCTATCCTATGATGATTGATATCCTTTTTTTTTATTATTATTCAACTAACTTTTATTTACCTTGCAATAATGTTTGGGACCCATGTGATAAATTACAGATATGCAAATCTCTTTGAATGGTGCTGTGAGTGTGTCTAGCGGGAGCTGAATAACTGCTTGCAGCTCAGTCTGTGCGCGCTCAGGACCCCAGGGAGTTGATCAAAGCACCCATTCTCTTTCATCCCCGGTATTCTCCTCCAAACTATTTCGATACAATATGTTTCCATGATGCACTTAATGCGCTCAGGACATAGAACTCATTACAACCTAGCTAGTTCTGCCGACCTCTTTGTTCCTCCGCAGAAAGTCAAAGAAAAAAGGAAAAGCGTTGCCAGTTGCCAGCTTTCTGAAATGCTAAAGCATGCGTAATTTTTCACCAGGTCTCGTCTTGATATCCTCAAAAGACAAACTATGAAACCGGCCTCAGCCTTTTTGGCATTAATTACACTGCTGTCCAGCCGATCTGTTTTTCCTATTATATGCATTTCTCAGCGGGGATTTTTTTTTTTTTGCAAGACTAATGCAGCTGCAAGTTAAACTATGAATGCATTTTTATCGCTATGGAAAAGAAAATAGGTGAAAAGGCTGCAAAACCTACAAGGCTGTTCAAAGACTTGGTGGTTTACAGACTTGGGGCGGGGTTGGCTAGGGGGTGGTGTTGGTGGCTGCAACTTGTCTGAACGTGAAAATGGACTGGGGGCCACGCAAGTTTCCACTATACCCAGCGTTCCGCGAAGAGACTTCTTTGTGCCCGCTGGAATTCAATGTTGGTGCCTGGCTGCATCTCAAGGTTTAAAAAATCACCAGTTAAAATTCTGAAAGCAAGCAGTGCGCAGTGCGCAACATGCCATGGGAAGGCTGCTTCCAAAGAAATCCCGGTTTCGTGGTGAGGAGAATGGCAGCGAGAATATAAATTTTATTTCATTTCCTCTTGTTTCTTGCGGGGTTGATTGGTTGGTGGAAATGGCTGGGAGCCAGTTCTGGGAAAGGTTCCAGACCTGACTGCGATTAACCCTCTCTGGGGAGACTCTGTTGGAAACCAGCTCACCAGCAATTGCCATCAATCTACTTACTAATTAAGCCGATTCATCTCTAAAGGAGGAAAAATTCCTTTCTTTAGCCAAACTGATGGGAGGAAATTTGAAAGAAGCGCCAAACTGTGTCACTGTAATTCAGTCCAGGACTGCTTGAACAAGGTGTTGATATATAGCAGCGGGTGCGGAACAAGTTTCTAGGGCAACCCCCTGCTCTGGAGTCGGTGGCACGGAACGCGCGGCACAGGAAGCGCCAATAACGCTACCCGGCGCTGTGCCACCCCCACGCACTTGCGTTCAACCTTAGTCCTGTCTCTCCAATTAAATCGTTTCCCTTTTACGCACACACACTTCGCCTCCTCCGGCTTTCCTTCCCCATCCCCTCACCCCCCATCAGCTTTACGTGACAGCGCCGCCACTGGACACATTTTTCGAGACTTGAGTATGGTTTTAGGAGTTTCTGAGGCAGTGCCGATCCCGAATTTGATGACACAGCATCTGGCCCGTGGTCCTGGGGGACGGAAAGCAATCACCGGTGGTGGAACATTACGCACGGAAGGAAAGCCAACCTGGTCTTCCAGGAACCGGGATCTGCTGGTTCCAGAATGTTCACACCACGTGGATCTGGGTCCTCCTACTTGCCAGGACTTTCTTTTGGATGCTGTCGGGGACAGCGCGCCCCTGGGAGCTGAGTGTTAAAACTTCTAGGCGGTGAAACATACGAAATCCCCTCGCGCCACTTTCCCAGCTCACCTTCACAGGCGAGAGGGACAAGCATCGGCTTGACTTGGGGGAAGGAGTACGCAGACACAGCGGGGAGAGATGGTTGGGGGTGCCAAACAACTTTAATGCCTCGAACTTTTTCAGAGATGTCCCTTGCTCCTCTGGTCCTAGGCGCCCGCGGAGCGCCCTGAGGCGTAGGGCAGGCATCCCACTACAGGGGTGCACACTCTCCTCGGGCAGTCCGACGCCCTGGGGATGTTTCCATCGCCTAGAAGGCGCACCACCCCCCCCCCCGCCAGCGTCCCATCCGTCATTCTTTGTCCTCTTCCGTCAAGGGCTTCTCCTGGGGCGCGGATAACCTCTTCAAGGGCTCCTTCAGGCTGCCCGACATCCTCCCTAAAGGTGAAGAAAGAAGCAGTCACGAACTTGGTTTGACTGACTTTTCCATCAACCTCTGTCCACACTCCATCCCACCCCCGCCCCCACTCTGCTAGGAGCTGTTGGTCTGGGCGCCAGCCGGTCAACCCTCCTCTTGGGAACACTTCCTGCTTCTCCGGTTGCCTGTGACCAAGGCCAGGAAATGACCTTCCGCTGAGAATCAGGAGCCCATGATCAGAGAATGAAATAAATGGAGAGGGGAGAGGAGAGTTTGTGTGTGGGTCCAGGGACTTGTCTCTGAAATGTACAGAGGACCCACAAGTCCAATGCCATCTTCCCTCTAGGGGGAAGCAGGACAATCACCAGCAATGGGTGGAGGGAGGAGGGTGCCTGCTCCTCCAGGCCGGACTCCCTGCCCTGGGCGGGCTCCATTGCCTGGGGTATATAGATGGTGAGAACTTTGGCAGGTCTGAGGTGGGAAAACCACAGCATGGACGAGATGTTCCTGCTTGCAAGTCCCACAAAGGACCTTTGGAAGGTCAGGAGCCTGGAGAAGACCATAGAAACTTGGGAGCCCTTCAAGTGTCCCAGTTGTCCCCCCCCCCCCCCCCCATGAAAACTCAGAGGAAGGGAGGGTCAGACGGGGGGGGGTGTACCCTTGAGTCTGTCTGGATGTCTCTGCAGTGGAAGGCTCACAGGCGAAGCTTTCCCAAGGTGAACTTTTCTTGTTCAAATTAGAATTCTTCCAAGCAAACATCCAGATGTACCCTTTGCCCACGTTGGGTGGAGAGGTGGGGGCTCTGAGGATTTCTCGGAAGTGTGGAAAGGAAATTATTTTCCCGAACCTGTAGATGCCCCCCTTTGTTTCCTCCCAACCCACAGCCCAGCAGGTGGCTGCCTTAAATGTTTCTGAACTTGAAACAGGTACCTACAGCTCTTACGTTTCAGCTTACAGGTAGGTGGGTTTCTGGGCAGAGTCTCCATTGCCCAGAGAGGTTTTGGTCATAAAATGTTGAAGGGATGAGGGCAACCGGGTGGAATTCTGTATGTTCACCAACATTTCAGTTTCACCATGAGACATCGGCAGGCGAGGCATTTATTTACCCAGAGATGGGTTAACCCGGGGGGTGGGGGGGGTGGAAGTAGGAATCCTCTGCTGGGGCAACTCGTGGACAAAGATTGTTTGGCACTTCATACATGGAGCCAGGGACAGACTATGTTCAATCCTCAGAACTCAAAGCATGTTGTTTTTCCTTGATTCTCCAAACACACACACACACACACACACACACACACACACACTGTAAAGTTAAAAAGAAATCATAATGTGCTAAAATCCTTAGTGTGTTTAGGCTGAGTCTGCGATGATAATTTAAAAAAAAAAAAGGATGTAAATATCCTTAAGCAGACTAATGACATTTCACAGGTAATGCAATTTGGAAAGAAACACTTCCCTGTTTTCTTTTCCAACAATGTGCATTTTTGTAAACTGCTATAAATTGCAATTCAAAAGCCCTGAGCTCGCCATCCCCAATCATTTTTTATACTGATCAAATGAATGCAGATACTCCCACTTGGGAGGGGCGACATGACGGCACTTCTAAACAGGTCAAGGACCTTTCACAGACCCTAAGGCAGTGGGAGGGAGCTCTTTGCTAAACCGTGTAACCAAATCAAAGCAGTGGTTACCCCTTTTCAAAACCATTGGAATGAGTTGCACAATGCCATTCACATAGCAGCACAGAACCTGAAAGGATGGTCATCCAATGGAGATTTCTTTCCTTTTGTTTAAACTCGCAGAGCTCAAAAAGTAATACTTGAAACAATCCCACTTGGTATGGCCAAAAAAATAAAATAAATCATAAACAAGAAATGTGCAGTTTCCTTCGGTCACTTTCCATCACGGGGCATAGCTGTGGCTGCCTGCTTGTCTGTGTATACACACACACACACACACACACACACACACATATATATGCACAGGCGTGTGTGCGTGTGCGTGTGTGTGTGTGTTGGAGATGTTGCTTTGTTCAAGAACTTAGTCACAAAGACACAACATGGCTGCCCTGGAGGTGACCCATTGCTTTCAAGTTGCTGGAACACATCAGAATTTCCATTGTGCAGGTTGATTAATTGAAACTGATAAGTTACCATGGATAAAGATTGTTTTTCTGTTTAATGTGGTGGGCCTGATTTGGTAAATGCCTCATTCATGTAGCTGTGCAGTGCAGCATATGGGCAGGAGCCTTTAGGATCACAAACATACACAATGCATTATGCTCCTATGGGCGCAGCCAAAAGGCCTTTTCTATTTTACCGACAAGGTTTCATTGAAAAAAAAAAAATTCCAGTTAAAGAGTCACTGGGAACATGAAGTGGTTTTGTTTTGTTTTGTTTTGTTTTTGTTTTGTTTTTTTTAACGTTGACTCCTGGTTTCTGGCTCTGAATTTTTTCATGTGATTTAAATGATATAATTTTAAATATATATTTTTATAAGAAACAATTACATAGCAAAATGATCCCTTTATCCTTGGCCACTGGAGATAAAGCAGAGTTTAGCTGACGTGTTAGCAGACCCAGGCAGAGAAGGCACCATGACCTAAAGCCACCCTGTGTGCCATTCTGTTGATAAAGTTGCCACAGAAGTTTCTTCCAGGCAACGCTCGAGATAACCTCCGCTGCTCACATTAGCACGCAACTCTAAGGAGATTGGTGAAAAAAAATGGGACAACTCCTGCTGCCTTCTTTTTCTCCCCTTAAATGAATGAAATCAAAGACAACGCTTTAAAATTAACTGGGGCTAACTATCACTTGAAAAGGCAATCAATGTATTCTTTTGGGGGGAGGGGTCAAAACCTAATTACTTAACTGTCTCTGCTTTTGGAAGGGCTATGTGATGTTCAAAGAGTGAATTACCAAAAGCCCATCCACATTGACCAATAAAAGGAAGACAGCTAGATATAAGTATATATTTTGGGTAATGATGCTCTAGGGAGACTTTTATTATATATATTTTTAATGTATGTTGCCCCTTCGATCCAGCGGGGTGGGAAGGATTAGGGTATCAACAACATCAACAACAAAAAAGACATGCTAATGAGTTTAAGAACTGACTTTGCGGACCCATCAAAGAGTTACCATAGCCAGCCTTTAATGTCTCAGCAAAGAAACGAATTCTCTGGTCATTCACATCCCTGAAACAGTTCAAGTTCACCCAACATTTCTCAGTTTAATGAGATGGGCGATCTCAGTTCAGCTCTTCTGGGGAGTAATAAAGCACATTGGTCACAGCTGACCACAGCTAGTACGTGTTTTATAAAGGCCTGGGTGTCCACTGGAAAGCTAATCGGGACACCGTCACTTGTAAAATTCCCACTCCGTATTGGGGAGTGATCATCTGTATCTAATTTTTTTAAAAAGAAAAATTTACTCTCGCTTTCACTCTTCTGGGGCCAATTTCTTTTCTGAACCCTGAATACGGATCGTTGGTGAAACAGCACCAAATAGCTTTGGTATGTGTGTCACAAAAACCCATCTCTTTGTAGGACATAACAAATTACGCGATGTTCGCAGATGCACTTCACATTGTGTCTTTTGTGAGAAAAACCAAGGCTCCGCTCCATCCCCCACCCCACTCCACCCTCTGGGATGGGAGACTGGGGCTCTTCAGCCCAGGCGAAATTAAATACACTGGATGGGAGGCTTGGCTTGGTCCGGTTGCTTCCAAAAGGGGCTTCCGTGGGACTTTTGCGCCCCCCCTGGGAGTTGTGTAAGTTGTCGTTGAGTTTTGCAAACCATGTCTTGAAGTCACAGCAGGTCTACAGAATACAGCCCTCGCTGCCCCTGGAACTCCCCCTTGCCTTGGAGATACTGAGGGGGAAAGGCTGGCGCCACCCAATCGCAGCCTTAAAAATCTACCTGTTGAAAATAAAGTCTTTGTGCTTATATTCTGATTTTTTATTATTCTTAAAGGAAAGGAGGTGGGGTTGGCATTGCGGTGCAGTGGATTAAGCCACCAGCCTGTGATGCCAGCATCCCATATGGGCACCATTTCAAGTCCCAGGTTCTCCACTTCTGATCCAGTTCCCTGCTAATGCACCTGGGAAGCCAGCGGAAGATGGCACATGTATTTGTACTCACGTGGAGCACCTGGAAAGAAACTCCTGACACGTGGCTTCAGTCCATCCCAACCCCAGCCTTTATGGTTACTGAGGCAGTGAACCGGAAGATGCAAGATCTCTCTCTCTCTCTCTCTCTCACACACACACACACACACACACACACACACACACACACACACACTCTCTCTCTCTCTCACTTGACCTTTCAAGTAAAAAAGTTGTTTTTAAAGGGCTGGTGTTGTGGCATAGCCACCACCACCTGCCGTGCCGGTATCCCATATGGGTGGCTAGCTCCTGTCCAGCTGCTCCATTTCCAATCCAGCTCCCTGCTGATGTACTTTAAAAAGCAACAAATGATGGTCCAAAACTTTGGGCCCCTGTGTCCATGTGGAAGCCTGGAGGAAGCGCCAGCCTCCTGGCTTCAGACCAGTTCAGCTCTGGCTGTTGAGGCCACCTGGGGAGTGAATCAGTGGATAGAAGACCTCTCTCTCTCTGTAAATCTGCTTTTCCAATAAATGTCATGTATGAAAGGGCAGGGGCAGGATGAAAGAAGTTTTTCATAGAGAAAGCTGAGGCAGAATCATGGTGTCTGCAGACATGGTAAAGAAAGGTTTATTTATTTTCATTCGAAAGGCAGATTTTACGGAGGAGAAACAGAAAGATCTTCCATCGTCGATTCACTCCTCAGATGGTTGAAGTGGCTGGAGCTGAGCAGATCCAAAGCCAGGTGCCAGGAGCTTCATCTGGGTCTCTCACGTGGGAGCAGGATCCCAAGGACTTGAGCCATCCTCTGCTGCTCTTAAAGGCTATAAAGTAGGAACTCAGATTGGAAATGGAGGAGCCAGGAGTAGAGCCAGCATCCATATGGCATGTGGTGCTTGCAGGTGGAGGATTGTT